TTAGTTACTCTAGGGCCGGCCCCGTGGCTTAGCGGTTAAGTGGGTGCGCTCCGCTGCTGGCGGCCCAGGTTCGGATCCCGGGATCGCCCTGACGCACCGCTTCTCCGGCCATGCTGAGGCCGCGTCCCACATACAGCAACTAGAAGGATGTGCAGCTATGACAGACAACTATCTACTGGGGCTTTGGGGGAAAAATAAATAAATAAAATCTTTAAAAAATAAAAATAAAAAAAAATAAATTAGTTACTCTGACCTTATTTTGGAGAGACTAGAAGTTTTTACTAATAGTAGAACTTTATAAATATCTCCAAGATGTAAGGGCTTCATTTGTCTGCCAAGGGGAAACAGTCATAAATTCTTTGTTAGATCAAAGAGAACAAACAAGCATTTCAGAAATAACGTGGCTATGTTTTTTCCCCCCAAGACTGAAGTTTTACATACTTAAGTATTCAGTAAATGAATGAATGAATAAATGAGAGTTTTGGATAATGGTCCATAAAAATTGAGATATGAATTGAAGAAGACATTAATTCAAACAAATATTTGCAAAATGTTCAGTCAGTTAAGTTCTAGAATAGTATCCTCATATAGTGATTTCTATACTTGAGTTCTACAGCAAAGAAAAGCTGCTAAAGAAATAGAGAAGTTGATATTCATCCCATAATATGTGTCTTAGTAGATTAATTATATAAATGTGAAGCAAAAAAAGTTTAAAAATTTACTTTCGTTCAATCATTGACAATTTATTGAGAATTTACTATGTACAAATATCTAATGTCCCTAAAGTGTACTTCAAAGTACTTTTAGTTAAAATGACTAATAGATCTTTGATCTTATTTATACAGGTATTGCCACATACAAATCAATTTTAAAGTTTTTTTTTCCCCTTTAAGGTATCCAGTTTTGGTGAAATATTTCTTTTATATGCAGATTCTATTAATCTGCATACTAATAAGTTGCATGAGGATATTTTAGCTAATTTTATGTTATCCTACATAGACAGATGAAGAAATTAGACCCTGCTGTCTGTTTGGTATTTTAGTAGTAGTCAGTTAACCAAGTGTATTATACTATAATACATAAACTTTAAAAAACCTTGGATTTCTCTATAATAAGTGACGAGAATTTAATATAGTAAAAACTCAGGATATTCAGTCTTTTTTGTGTGTGTGTGAAGAAGATCAGCCCTAAGCTAACATCCGTGCTAATCCTCCTCTTTTTGCTGAGGAAGACCGGCTCTGAGCTAACATCTATTGCCAATCCTCCTCTTTTTTTTCTCCCCCCCAAAGCCCCAGTAGATAGTTGTACGTCATAGTTGCACATCCTTCTAGTTGCTGTATGTGGGACGCGGCCTCAGCATGGGTGGAGAAGCGGTGCGTCCGTGCGTGCCCGGGATCCGAACCCGGGCCACCAGTAGTGGAGCGTGTGTGCTTAACCGCTAAGCCACGGGGTGGGCCCAGGATATTCGGTCTTAAGAGCAAGATAAAAATAACTATTTATAACCAAAAATGTGTCAACAAAAACATTGGGAATTTCTGATAAAGAAAATAGTAAAGTACATATAGAAATAGAAATGCTTAAATTAATATTATTGTCAACAGATATTCTACGCTGACTCTGTACTTTGTTTCTGTAGAATTCTCCAAGTCCCTGCTGCTTACTCTCCTGTTGATCCAGATTCACCACCAGCATTATCAGTTCATTTTATGAGAAAATGTAATCTAAAGTACATCCTTGTTGAAAAACAGCAAATTAAGGTAAGTGTGGGTATATAAATTGTGTTTTTTATGTCTGTTACATTTATCTTTCAATCGAAAGGGTCCCATCCTCTGTCTTGATTTCTAAATTTACTAACTCAGCAGGGTTTCTCAGTATCAGCACTGTTGACATTTTGGGTTGAGTAATTGTTTGTTGTGAGGAGTGTCCTGTACAGTATAGGATGTTTAACAACATCCCTGGCCTCCACCCAATAGTTGCCAGTAGCACACTCCAGTTATGACAACCAAAATTGTCTCCAGACATTGCCAAATGTCTCCAGGAGGCACCCTGCACGCCGCACACTCCATTGAGAACCACTACTCTTTGGCGTGAACATATCTTCTAGTCTCATAATAACATATTGTGCACTGTTTTGAATTGCCTTTCTCTTTCCAAAGTTGTTCCTATACTAAGAAAATTTTATAATACTGTACTTGAAACTTTTATTTTTGTATATTTATGGCAATTTACAGTGGTCAGCAACATTAAAAAGTTATAACCAAGCTTAGATTTTGAAAAAGACATTGACACTTAGACTAGACCTTTCTGGAAAACTAAATTTATTATTTTTTAAATTTTTAAGTGACTGCCAACCAAAGATCTAGCCAAGAAACACGGCTTTAGGGGCAAGAGTTGATATATTTTCAGCTAGATGCAGCCCATATTTCATTATTATTTCTTCATTTTTCTTTTTTTGTAAAATATTATTTTACCAAAGAGAAAGGAAGAAGATTTTGGAAGGTATTTACCCATTTCCTATATGAGCCAGTTTATATTGGGGGTAACTTAAATTCTTTTTTTTTTTTTATAATTTTATTTATTTATTTATTTTTACCCCCCAAAGCCCCAGTAGATAGTTGTACGTCATAGCTGCACATCCTCCTAGTTGCTGTACGTGGGACGCGGCCTCAGCATGGCCGGAGACGCGGTGCATCGGTGCATGCCCGGGATCCGAACCTGGGCTGCCAGCAGCGGAGCGCGAGCACCCAACCGCTAAGCCACGGGGCCGGCCCCTATTGGGGTAACTTAAATTCATTCCACCTGTGTATGTGTATGTGTGTGCATCTGTATCTGTATATATAGCAATAAGATGTATCAAGAGCTTGAGATATATGGAGGACTTCCTAAAGAGTCATGGGTAAGGCCTTTAGAAAGAGACAACTAAAGTATTAATTTGGTTAATAAATATTTTCTAAATACACATTTATCAGTGTCTGGCCAAAGTTTTCTCTTCTGTTCCTCAAATTATTATTTCTTTGTTGATAAGTAAGCAAAACTAAAATGGGGATGTGACTTTCATTTTCCTTAACAACCTTGGTGAAAGTTTTATAGAAGAGGTGGTTGGGTGTGAGAATTAATTGTCAATATCAAGCCATTCTTTATGACTGCATATAAGAAGGAGTTGGGTACATAGCAAAATCTCATAGAAAGTACCTTGCTTCCTATTCTATGACTTTGATGATGGTATAACTTAACACAGGAGCAATCAAGAAGTATTTATTGAGCGTCTACGGTATGCCTGGCATCCACTAGAGCAGTGGTTTTCAGCTAGAGATGATTTTGCCTCCCAGGAGACATTCTGCAATGTCTGGAGATATTTTTTATTGTCATGGTAGAAATGGGGTGCTACTGGCTTCTAGTGGGTAGATGATGCTAAAAATCCTACAAGGCACAAGACAGCCCCCCACAAAGGTTTATCTGGTCCATGTCAGTAGTGTTGAGACTGGGAAACCTTGCACTAGAGACAGGGTGTTTGGGAGGGCATTATTATGTGAAAGAAGCCCAAGACATGATTCTTGCCCTCCAGTTGCTTTTATAGTTGGAGAAGAAAGGTTAATACTCCTGAACCTGTAAGGTCTACATAGTGTGATATTGCCCTAAGCGAAGTAAATGTAACCTAGTAGAGATAGGACAATTTTAATGGAGGAGGATGGTTTTGATCTAGGTCTTAAGAATTGTTAAGCCCTTAATTTTTTTAACATTATAGGCCACTCCACACCCTACTCCTAGTACACACACAAGCACAAACAGAAAGCGCTACAGGTTCCTGGGTTGTGACCTTTTTCTCTCATTTATATTGATTTCTTTAATGTGAAACTTAAGTTATGTTTCATTACACTGCTTTTTATCAACCTAAAAAGGTATGTTCAAAGGAAACTCACTTTCAGCATGTACAAACTGAATTCGGCATCTTTTCATCCAAACTTACTTCTGTATTAATCTATCTCCATCCACCAAATACCTGAGCCAGAAGTTCAGCAATCTTCTTAGGCTTACTCCATATCCAGAAAGTCATTGAGCTTACTGATTCTTTGCTCACAGACCCTTTTTGTCCACTCCTGTTACAACAGACTAGTTCAGGCCCATATAGTGTTTCTGAATTTTTGCAAAAGGTTCATTAAATGGCTCTCATTTATCAGTCTTTCCTTGACGAAAGTCTAGTCTATGCTGTTGCCACCTTCAAGTGGATCCCATCACTTACAGGTTAAGATCTAAACCTCTTACTGTTGAGTATACATAAAGTTATTAAGGATTAGCATCTCATCTCCTATCAACAGCACACCTCACCTTCTCCCTCTCCCCCAGTTCTGCAAATTACTGGAATGCTTCGTGTTCTCCACAACAACAACTTTGTCAGGTTACGTACCCTGTGTGTGGCTGTCTTCCTAAAATACCCCTATTCTTTATTTGGAGAATCGCTACTTATAACACAAATATTACATATGAAGAATCAATCTCTGACCTTCCAAGCAGAGTTCAGCCTCCTCTGTTTCCATTAACATTTCAAGCATATTTCATCATCACACCACATTGCATTGCCGTTGTGTTTTTATGTCTCTTTATTTTTAAGGTGAGTTTGAAAGTAATGACAGCACTTTACTCTTGGAAGTTTCTCGTTTATCTTTTTATCCCTGGATATATAGCAGGGACTCAAAAAAAGCCATGTTGAATGAGTAAATGGATATTTCATATTACTTCTATATAAAAAAGAATGCCTTTTAACATATTCATATTGTAAACTTTGTTCCCTGTCCAACAGAAATTCAAATCTTCCTATGAAACATTATTGAACTATGATACATTTGCAGTAGAACATGATGACCTAGTACTCTTCAGACTTCACTGGAAAAGTGTTGAGGTGAACTTGACGCTAAATGAAAGAAAAGAGGAATATGAAAAAGAAAAAACGACAAACAGCACAAATTCTGAGAACAGCAATGAAGAAAAGTCAGAAGAGCACATGGATGTGAGGCTAAAGCATTGCTTGGCTTATGTTCTCCATACATCAGGCACTACCGGGATACCTAAGATTGTCAGAGTCCCTCATGCATGTATAGTGCCAAACATCCAGCATTTTCAGTAAGTTCTGTCCTTAGAATCCTTCTTCAGAACATGTATTTTGAAGGGAAAAAATAATTTTAAAATATCTGTTCTTTATAACTGTTGTTCCTAAATTGATAGTCCTAAGTAATTGGGTCTCTTGTTTCAGCTATATCTGAACTTTAGTTCTCTGCGGACTAGAGCTTTACCTGTTTTATCCAGACCTGGAGCCAAACAACAAATGATATAATTGGAAGCTTTGCTTCTTAATTAAGAAGGGAGGAAGCACATTCCTGGCTGAGGTACCAGCAGAGGTATGGGAGAAAGAAGGAGTTTGGCTTTCTCGAGTCCATTAGGACAGAGCAGGAGCCATGTGATCTGAGGGGGCAGGAGCCTGGTGTGCCCTGTTGAAGGAGTTTGAACTTAATCCAATAGATGATGAGGAACCATTAAAAAAGATTTGCATTTCATTAAGTTCACTCCTGTAGCATTGTTGACTTTGGTTTTGCTATTATGGTCAGGAGATGAGCAATATCTATGAAGTTGAGATTCACACCTTGTGAAGAAAGAAGAAAATAGAGGAGGGAGGGAACCAGAGGTGGGTAGTCTTAGGAAATCGAAGGAGGAAACAAATAGAAATAGAAACCCCATGAGACATGTAATGTAACCCCATGATATGTAATCTTACATCATTGTAAGTTTTGTGTAATTTAAAGTTTTCTAGGAACCACAGTTAAAAAGTAAAAAGAAGCAGGTGAAATTAATTTTAACAAGATAACATAATTCAGTATATCTAAAATATTAATATGTAATCAATATAAAAATTGTTAGTGAGGTATTTACATTCTTTTTTTATACTAATTGTCTTCAAAATCTAGCATGTATTTTACACTTATGCATCTCAGTGTGGACCAGCTACATTTTTAGTGCTCAATAGGCACATGTATCTAGTGGCTATCATATTGGACAGCACAGGTGTAGAAGGAGAGAATAGTTAAATGCTGCAGAGGGAGGTGTCTGTTGTCATTGACAGCCTGGTCTTAAGTGGCTTTACTTCCAAGGGCCCAGGGTTGAGGACAGATTACAGGCTGGAGATAGGGAATGAGAGATAAGGAAATGGAGAAAACAAAGGTAAAGTGTTATTTTCTGGAAACTAGTTTTAACAGAAAAGAAAGAATTCTGGGAGGGTGTAGGTTTTTTGTCTTTGTTTTAAGATGGGAGAGGTTTATAAGTTAAGGGTAAAGAATTGGTGAAGAGGGTTGGTTTGAAAAATCAAGTAGTAGAAGTATAATCACGTGTCCCATAATGATGTTTCAATCAAGGACGGCCCACATAGACAACGATGGTCCCATAAGATTAGTACCATATAGCCTAGGTGTGTAGTAGGCTATACCATCTAGGTTTATGCAAGTACACGATGATGTTAGCATAACAACGCATTTCTCAGAATGTATCCCGTCGTTAAGTGATGCATGACTGTATTGTAAAGGAGTAAGATACTTAGAGATGGGAAGGGATGACATTTAAAATACTGGGTAGAATAACTCTTCTTTAGAGAGCCTTAAGAAGATAAGAGGGATAATAAATTATATAAATTCTTTATGTAATAAGGAATGTTAGAGGAAGCTGATGAATTGTAATTTTAGTGTGAAATAGAAAGCAAAGTCCTATGCTAAGGGTAGAGGAGCTGAGATGGGGTTGGAGAAATAGTGAACCTGAAGAGAGTGGAGCAGGTTTGGAATCTGGGGGAGGTGGGAGAGAGAGCTGACTAAGAGGAACTGGGCCTAACAGAGGCAGGAATTGTCTGTAAGATTGGAGCAAATATATGCTTAGTGAGGGATGAGGGGCTGATTTATGAGTAAAGTATAGAAATTTCTTGATAGCTGTTTTGTGTTTGAACTTAATGAAATCTATTTTCCTTTTAAAAATCCCTTTTTGGTTTACTTTTAGGTTCATAAGTAAGTAAAGTGCTAAATAATTGGATTCTGAAGAGATGAAATGTTAAGATATCTAATTTAGAAATTAGGGCCCGCCCCGTGGCTTAGCGGTTGAGTGCGCGTGCTCCGCTGCTGGCGGCCCGGGTTCGGTCCCGGGCGCACACTGACACGCCGCTTCTCCGGCCATGCTGAGGCCGCGTCCCACGTCCAGCGACTGGAAGGATGTGCAACTGTGACACGCAGCTATCTGCTGGGGCTTTGGGGGAAAATAAAAAAAAAAAAAAGAAAAGAAATTAAAACAGTAATGTTAAATTTTCTATTTGATTTGGACTTAAATTCCTAAGCTAGGGAGTACCAAATTTCACGTACATCTTCGAACAATCTTATTTCTCTTGCTGACTCCCCCAATATTACCAGAATAATCTGTTAGTAAGACAAAGCTGAGTTTACTGCTTATGTTGGTAAGAGGCAATGCTACCTACCTCAAGAGTGTGATAGTCGCAGAGAGGGAAGGGCAGGATCTGATTTATTGAGATTTTGAAGTCTAGTTTAAGGCAGATCTTTCAATATAGGGGCTTAATTTTCAGGATTGGGAAAGATTTATGATATAAGAATTAAGGATTGGTGGAAATGTCAGGGTGATTTTTGAGGAGGGGTGTTCAGAGAGCCTTGGGATGTAAACTGTTGATGCTTTTATTAAAGAATTTATTTAGTTTTCAGTCATGAACAATAAAGTGCAATTTTTATTTTCTTGGTCTAGAGTCTTCTAGAATAATAAAATTAGGCTAATGAAGACAATGGAATAGTAAAGTTTTGTTAATATAGGCAGTGAACTGTGGGGGTAAACCTGCTTTGTTTTGTTTTTATCAACTGTGACAGTACTACTCTCTGAGAGCAGATTATAGGAGTTTGATTTCCTTTTTTCTGTTTGTCTTTTGCTTTATTGTTGTAATAACACATGAAAAGAATTGTGTTGTTCATGCCCAGAGGCACTCATTTTACAAGGGCAGATATGGTATCTCTCTTCTGTAGTGATAGCATGGAATTGACCTTCCCTTGAAATATTTACTAATCTTTCTAGATTATGCCAAAAAAGAAAGAAGTTAAGATGAAAAGTTGCTCTTTGATAGCTCTGCATCAAATATATATAGAGTCTTTAGTTGTATGAGTGTTTGTGAGGCTTTTAAAGGAATGGTTTTGTTTTTTGTGAACAATTGCCTAGTTTGATTGCGGAGTCAGAAATGAAATGGAAACTTACAACTTTTGTTTCAGTCAAACAAGAAAAGTAGCTCAGTGAAGAAAAAAAGTAAATCTTTTCTTTCTATTATTTTGGTGTGGCTTTTTTTTCCTCTCCCTGCCCTCCTTTTACTTCTGGAGTTTGATGACTTAATATAGTTCTTTGAAGGAATACCCACCAAAACATATTCTTTTATATGTTGGCTTAGGTTATTTTGTTAAATACATTTTTGTAATCATATCCTGAAGAGAACTTACAGTTATTTTTCTTGTTGAATTCTATTCTCAATTGATCTTTCTAAAATTAAATTGTTAGATGGACATCTTTTCTAACATTACATACCTTAAATAGTCTTCTGTTGAAATTAAAAATCTAACATATACAGGTACAAAGGCAGGTACAATTTTGAAGTCTTTTAAGAATGATATTTAAGAATTAGTTGATGTTTATGACTTTGCACAAGTTACTTAACCTCCCTGAATTCTCTTTTTTTTCATTTTTAAATGGCAGTAATAATCAAACCTGTTTCATAAGGTGGTTGGGAAAATGAGAAACAATATATTAGATACATAGCACTAAGCCTCACAGGTAGTAAGCTCAACAAACCTTTGTTCCATTCCATCTTTTTCCTTTAAAATCTGTCTCTTTTCTCAACTTTTCCTATATCGCACACTTCTTAAGCTGTTCTCTTGAAATTAACTGCCAAATTCTCCATGAATGCTTAAGACTGTCCACTTTTGTTCACAGAATTGAGACACTAAAAATGATTTTCAGTTTAAGCTTTATTGGGAGCCTGTTATAAAATTCGCTCTCTCCTGAATACTAACTAGGAAACCAGACAATATTTGTGAAGAATAATTCCGTTGAAAGTTGAAGTTTGAGGGCCGGCCCCGTGGCTTAGTGGTTGAGTGCGCACGCTCCGCTGCTGGCGGCTCGAGTTCGGATCCCGGGCGCGCACCGAAGCACTGCTTCTCCGGCCAC